ACTAGTTATTTTAAGACCTTCATTAGAAAGGTATCAAATTCAAGTGTTTGATTAAAAAATAATTACCAAGGCTTATTTATTTTCTTTCTAAAACTACAATCAAACTTATATATTGTATCGGTCGTATAAAAAAGTTTCTAATCTAATCGACCTAAACGTCTGGAACTTTCCTTCTCAAAATAAATCTTTTTTTTACGTTCCGTTAGCTAATGTAAGGATGATTGAGGTGTACTGTAACAATGATATGTATAAAATAACATTATATTCAGTTTGTTTGGGAGTTTTAAAGCTTAATAATATCGGTTTTCGTAATGTTTTATAATAGTAAACTTAATGATATTTCACTGTATAAGCTTAATCAAAGTTAATCAATTTTGTATAGTGTTTAGCTAATGAAGTCAACACGGCGGAAACAATGAGATAACCGTGTCTCAAATAAAAAAATAAAATAAGTCATTAACTAATAAAGTAGCAAGTGTGATTTAAGCTTTAACTAGGTTCTGAATGTACTAATTTATTTTGTTATCATAGCAAGATTTCATAAATTTTGAGAAAGTATCTTGAAGTGCAAAATTTGTTCTCAGCATATTACATTGTGATATATTTACTTCCCGGTAAGTACTTCTTTATTTTAAACGCTAATAAAATCGAAATATATATTGTGCACTTTGAAATTTGATTATAAGGATAAAGGGACATCGATGTCCCTGTGATCTTTGAGGGTATTTTTTTGTTTCAATAATGTTATTGTGATTTTTACACTCATCTCTTTTTTTGATGATTGCAGATTATGTTTCGAAGAGGTGACTAAACGAAGGGAAAATGAAATCCAATAGACTTCGATGATAAATTGTCTTCATTGTCATGGTGAAAACAATTTATTGCTCCACGAAGAGGACGTTGACTGCTCACACAGGATGATGACCAAGGTTAATTTGATCTTGAGATTGAAGATTCTTAAAGTTGAATTGTCGTGTTCAATTATCACCCGCGCTTTCAACTTCTGTCGTAGAAATTGTCAGCAAACCACTTAGCGACAATCAGGTAGTCTTCATGTGGACCCATAAAACATAGGAAGAAATATATGTAAAAATTTTGAATATGAATTTTGAAAAGTGCAATTCGAAATATTTCTTTAAACAATTGAAGTATCAGAATCAGTGCGATACGGTCACCTCAACGAACAAGAATTCTCTGTCAAAACTGATCAAAAGAAAGCATTTTTTGGTTTGGAATTGTAATTCAACAATACGTCATCTTGTTTGCCATCGTTTAAAGATTACTCATCTACAGAATCTAACATGGCCAATTGGCTTTTCGTTGCAAATTTTATGCCTAGGGCTCGTTATGAAGAAACACGCAACGAGATGCTCCACAATTGTAAAAGTTAGTGGCGTATGAAGAGCTATAAAGCACGATTACGTAAACTTCCCATCGAAAAGGTCAACATCAGAAAATGGTGCGTAAAATGTGTTTCAAAATCAAGAAAAAAAGTCAAACAATTAAAATTTATGCAACGACGGAAATTCTTTCTCTGAACAAGTCACAAGTGCAACTATTTCATAAAATTATTATAATTTAATTAATAATACGAGGGTCAAACTGAAAGTTCTTAGAAAATCAAAAACTGATTACATTAGCCAGTTATTAGTTTTATTATATCTTTTCAAAATATTGTCCATTCACGTCAATACACCGCTGCATGCGATGGAACCACTGGGAAAAGCACTTTGCCCACTCGTCCTTAGGGGTCTCTTCAATGGCATCGCGATACGCAGCCACCGCTTCTTCAGCATTCATAAACCGCTTTCCTTTAAGTTTTTCTTTAATTTTTGGAAATAAATAAAAATCACAAGGCGCGAGGTCGGGGCTATACGGCGGGTGACCCAGTAATTCAACGTTTGATGTCGCCAAATAGTCGATCGTTCGCTTGGCGGTGTGCGACGAGGCGTTGTCGTGGTGAAGGAGGATCCTACTGCGAGGTCGTTTCTCTCGAACTTTTTCCAAGACAAGTGGCAAACAATTGGTAGTGTACCATTCTGCAGAAACTGGTTTTTGATCCTCTAACACAATTGTTGCAAAATGACCTATCCTTCCAAAGAACGAGGCCACCATTTTTTTTCCCGCACTTCGATCTCTCTTCACTTTAGTTGGCAACTCCTCGAAAGGAAACACCCACTGAGCAGATTGTCTTTTGGTTTTAGGATCATAACAGTAAATCCAGCTTTCGTCACCTGTTAGTATGTCGAACACAGCATTTGAGTCACCTCCGTTAAATCTTTCAATCATTTTACGACACCAATCCACACGATGGAGTTTTTGAGCCTCAGTCAAATTATGAGGTATCCACCGGGCGCAAAGCTTCCTGACCGCTAAATGTTCGTGGAGGATTTTGTGCACTTGACTCATACCGATGCCTAAGCTTGTCCGAATCTGTTGATAGGTCACTCTTTTGTCAGTCTCTATCATACGCCGCACAACACAGATGTTATCTTCAGTCGTCGCCGTAGAAGGCCGTCCCTCACGTAAATCATCAGTGAGATTAGTGCGACCACGTTTAAACTCATTAAACCAGTTGTAAACAGTCGCACGAGATGGGGCTTCATCGTGAAAGGCCAATCGTAGTCTATCATAACTTTCTTGTTGACTTAAATGACATCGAAAGTCATAAAAAATCATTGCACGAAAATTTTCTCGTGTTAAATTCATGATGACGTGACACAGACAATTTTCAATTTGCCGCCAAATCGTAAAACAAATGACAAATGAATGAAATATATACTCAGTAATATTGGCAAAGAGTTATATTTTCAAATTTTAGAATTATTTTTTTATTATATTGTTTATAAGTGGCCAGTTCTAAGAACTTTCAGTTTGACCCTCGTAATACGTATAAAATTATATGTTGTTTGTTTTTGACAAAATCATAAATTATGAATACTATAAAGAGGTAAAGTTTCTAATGTTTATTTGTAGGTGTAATATTCGAAAATACTAATCTGATTGTGAAAATTATTTCAGCTACAGAAAGCTTCTTCCTACATGACTAACTTTGACTATAATTTACGCGAACAAAGTCGTGGAAAAACAGTAATTAATAAACGTAAAACACGTAATGATAAGCTGAATAAGCAAAACTCAGCCCTTGACGTGCATAGGGACAAATACTTATGTCCCAAAAAAATCTATTAACCCATTGAAATTTTAAAATTCTTTAAATTATATTTATTAGATACCTAATCAATCGTACGAAACAGTCAGAATGATTACTTTACTTCTTATAACCTTATGGTCCTGAGACGATTAATTACATCAAGAAAAATATTTTAAAAGAATAGCTCTTGACAAAAATTTGCAAGAGTTTTATTGCGATTGATACTTCATAGGTTGTAATAATTGATTGCAACACTCAGTTTTTCTTTTGACGCTAGGAGATGTGTTACTTACACTCGCTGCCCCAATTTTTGATGTTGCAGGGTAAATGCAACCTTAATCTTCAAACCAGGGCTCTCCAACTCCGCAGTCGTCCTGAAAAGGACTAGCTTAAGCGAGGTTGGCCTAATTGGTAAAACCCGGAGCTAGTCAAATAGCAAACATATTTACTAAAAGCTAGCGATGTCCCTCTCTATGGAGAGAAAATATGGGTGCAGCGCGAAGGCCACATCCCGCGCAGAGGATGCGACCACATAACCACCTAATATATCCAGGTGTTGCAGCACTTAACTTTATACCGAATATTAATTAATGCAACTCTGTGCAATTACAAAACTATTACACTTTTTGGTCAAAAGTCAAAAGCTCCTTGTATTATTATTATTTTTACGTTAGTCATCGTTATTTTCATTATTTTCCCGAAAACTTAAAAACTTTCAAACTTTTAAAAATATGTATTTATAAGTGGTTCTTTCTACGAGCGCTTGCTTAAGCTTTTTCATTTTTTCCTAATTTAACCCTTGAAAGTGGCATTCATACTTGAAATTCACGAATCAAATCACTAAATTTGTTTATCTTACACGCTCGTTTTAAATAATTCAATATTTGATCTAACAGGTCAAAACCAAATAAACGTTTTAAATACGTGAGATGGCGTCTTTTGATTCTATATGCAAGCTGATTTCATACAAAAACAATATTATTATAATAGTAAATGAAAAATATATTCACTTATAAAACCCTGGAGAAAGCTCGTTTTGTCTACTTCAATACCTGGTTCCTTTTATTAAGTATTAAAAATGCACCAGATGTTTGATCATATATAATAATTCGCCTTAATGTTAAACTAATAGACTTGACTTTTCAAAAACCAACTGAAATTTATAAAATTCTAATTAATATCATGACTACGAATCTTAATGAGTTGCACAAACGTCCATTAAAATTATCATTATTTCTAAAGCGACCATAACGATACTTTTCAAATTTAGAACATTCATTAGAGCTTAGAGACGTTATTAAACCTTTAATAGACATTTGTGCAACTGTGTCCTAGAAAACTAAAAACAGTTTTAGTGAGGAATAGCTAAAAATAATTAGAAAATACTCGACAGATTTGATTTAGGGGCACTACATCAGTTTTCACCTAAAATTTATTTGTGTGGATTTCACATAAAAGTGATTGACATAAATGTCTAAAAAAATTTTATATTCAAAAGAGCTGCTACGTGGTGCTAAAATTTTCTTTGACAGTTGTATCATATAAATGCTGCCTGTTTGAATATCGAAAAGAAATCTAAAGACGATTTTTTTCGGTTATCAAATGGTTTTTCTCCAAACCTGAGAAAAACATCGAATTCCTAATAGAGTAAAAAAGATATATATATAGATTTAAAAATGAAAATGACGATTCTATTCTTAAGAGACAAACAAAACACCGCTTAACTTGTGGATATAAAACAAAACTCTTTTCCAAAAATTTTAAAAAGAAGTAACATTTTTTTAATTTTTTTATTTATAGACGTGAATCCGCGGGCCAACTTCCACGCTCAGCCAGTATCGACTCTATGGTAGAAGCAGCTATCTGCGCGCGACATTCAGAGCCAAGTCAATCAACATTGCAACTACCAATCAGAGCTGACAGGGCCTTCAGCCTAGCCTCGCCTGTAGTCGGCCGGAGAGCAAAATCACAAAGAGGTCAAGCAGGTGAGTTTCATTGCTATTTTTTCTGCAGAAGTTTATAAGAAGGTGGCATTTATTTTTACAAATATAAGACCGAAATGTCGGAAAACGCGAAAAACGCTTTGTCTTCACCCAAATGACACTTTTCTCCACTAGAAAATGAGATACCATATCGTACCCCCGGTGCGACACTTTCACTTTTGCAAAAAATACAAAAATTAGTTAAATATGTAATAATTGTCCTAAAGCCCCCTTTACTTGGTGCGATAATGTTACTTTTGTAGATGAATCATACGGAACTATGTTCCGTTCCCCCAGATGAGATGAATCATACGGAACTATGTTCCGTATGATTCATCTCATCTCATCATACAGATGAGATGAATCGGAACATAGTTCCGTATGATTCATCTCATCTGTATTTTCTAAAGTCATTGTTTTGTGAGGTGGCAGAGTTTAAAACTCTTCTCCTCAAAAACTAAATTTTTGCAGAAGTGACAGTGTCGCACCGGGAGTGCGATATGGTATTCCCCAAGAAGTTTAGATATCTTTATATTTATCTTTGCGCATTATTTTTAAATTCTTGGTCACACCCGAGATAGGTGATATTTTGGTGTAGGCAAAACATTCTCAAGTATGTCATGTTACACGTGCTGAAATCATTTGTCAATTTTTTTCCAAAACGATGATTATTATACTAAGCTAACGAACGAGTGTTTACTGATACAAATCTGATTATACACAAACAACTTTTTCTCTTTTGCTAAACGAAGCCTTTCTACTAGTAGATAGAGTGTATAAAATACGTATTCTATGGAAATCGCAGACCGAATCAAAATCATATTACACGCGGTTATACCACTGGTTAACACAATATGTTAAATTTCTCCAGTTGCTCTTAAATTCTCTACCTCTATGAACGTTGAAAACCAAGTGAAGGAATTTAACTGATTTGTTGGCCTTATATTTCAAATATTCGTTTGTAAGATGAATTATTGGTCAAATTCAGGAAGTATCCGAAGTTTCCGATCATTGTTTATGCAAGGTACAACTTCCGAAATAGTCGGGTATAACCGGGGTTAGGAAATAACCTCACGGTTAGGCTAAAATAGTCTTGTCAATTTTCTACATTCAAATGACAACTTCAACCGTTACATTTGTATATTTGGATGACATACTTTTTCGTAGCTTATTAGAATCATTCCATCACCGAAATAGAAAATGGAAAGCTCGTATGCACATACATTATTTATGAGTCAGCGCAGAGTAAGCAATTCTGTTTGCTTATAGGATTTCCTCTTTTTTCCTCTCCCTGAGAGATTATAGCGATTGACACATTCCTATACAAAAACCCAAGTAGCGAGTGAATGTTTTGATGGATTATTTTATTGGATGTAAAGTTTCTAATTTGTTTGTTTGTAGGATGTAATCTTGGGAAATACTGATCCGGTCATGAAAATTCTTTCACTTACGGGAAGCTACATATATACCGGAAATACAGTTGATGATGTATAAAACTATGCTATGAATTCTATAGTCACTGTTTTATTTTATCTGGTATATATTCTTTAATAATAAACCTAAAGCTAAGGATCGTGTTTCTCTGAATTTGTCCTAGTTTAGAAGCGTACAAGAGGGACTCCATAAGTTTGACCTCAAAGACGGAAGTAAATTAACTACAGGTCAAAGTTTGTTGATGTTTACGTACTAATTGCATCTCAAAAGAATCTCAACAACTTGCATTTAACCATTGTACTATCTACCTCAAGTCCAATATTATTAGTGCAATGTCTTCCTCTGACATCAATGGTGACATATACACTAGCCTTCTGTCAAAATTTCATTAAATTCAAAAATGAAAAAAATCCATAAAAACTTTCATCCCCTAATTTACCTATTTAGGGGTCGAATTTAGGTCTCAGTGAGCACCTATGTGCAAAAAAGAACTCATATACAAAATTTGAAACTCCTAGCACTTATAGTAACGGAGTTTCATACAAACTTTCATCCCCTTATTTACCTCCTTAGGGATTGAAGTTCAAAAAATTAATGATAACTTCGTTACTGCTCACCAGCTAACTTTAGCCCTAAAACAAATTAGCTCAAAATAATGATGAAGGAGTTAAGAAGGATTTAATTTTATTACATGATATGCAATGGTTAAATTTCCACATAGCGAGAAATTTTTAAATTGTAAACAATGGAGCACCATCCCCACCTCAGTACCTCTTTGGACACAATAAACGACGCCCGACAGCTCTCAAAACTTTACCAATTACCTTTACCTTACTTTTGTTTGTTCTCTTTTGTCTAGAGATTTAAACAAAATGCGCACGCTCCTGACTCACATCCTTCTAAATTCCGCAGATACTAAATAAAGTAAGCTAAAGTATCTACTTCGTATTAAAGAAATTTGAAACTAGGAATAGTACAATGTTTAGATTCTAACCTATACTAATAGTATAGCAACCTCCTTACTGAGTGAAAGTAATGTAAATACGGTAAAAGTGCGTGAACTACATGTTGTTATTTCCGAAATACTGGCGTTCATACGCAACAAACTGGACATCATTGATACGGAAAGTCTAATCAGGATTTATGTTTCGGCATTTTCGGAAGAAGACATTGAATGTGCAAAAAAGTTGTTGTTTTCGTCGGTGAAAACAAAAATTAAGTTCGTGTCAAGACGTAAGCAGCAGAAAGAAAAAGATTTGGAAGATATTTTGACAGTGTTAAAAACAGCTGAGCCGGATCAAATACCAATATTTGTGGCTTACAATCTGCAGAAATTGCCGCCAATTTGTTTCGATCATTTTGATGTTACTAAGTTGTTGAAAGACACAATTTTATTGCGTGAAGATAAAAAGTAATTACCTAACGAAAGAAGATTTAGAACACAAAAAGTTGAGCAACATGAATCCATTAAATACTCCTGTCTTTTATTATAATTCGATCAACATGAAAAGATCGCACTGGATAGCGGACTGATTGGGCTGTCGCATGTTTCCGAGTCGGCTGATGACGCCACGGCTGTGTCACCGCCGTCTGTATCTGAGATCGATGCGCTAACTCACGGTGATAATGCAACTATGGTTGTAAACAATGCACTAAAATATAGAACTCTCTGTCCATCGGTCGGGGCTGCGTATAGCAGCGTCTTACTAGCGGATTTTAACTCGACATTATTAGAAATAAGCATTGATAATGCGAGTGTCAAGGACAGTTTAGTCAAATTGCCGAACATGAATAAAAATTATAGCAATGAAAATGAAAAATGATATGAAAGATATGAAAAATGATAATGAATGGACGATTGTTAATTGTTAATAGTAAGTCAAAAAATCGTTTCATTGGCAGAACAGGCAAGTTTTTATCTTATGCCACGGAAACCTTCAAGGTCGCGGAAACCTGTATACCGTTAATTATATCAAACGTTGGTAAACAAACTACGGAGGGAGATATCTCTGAATACATAAAACAAAAAAGGCATATAACGGTAAAAGTAGAAAAGATTAATATGAAAACACAAAAACCGTATAATGCTTTTAAAGTGCTCATTGTTAGTCATAAGTTAGACACTTTTTTAGATGACAGCCTATGGCCGGAGGGAATACGTTTCAGAAGAATTATATTTTTCAAAAAAAGGAATAATGTTAACTACAAGGCTCCTGATCGTGAAGGAGTACTGATCAAAAATGGCTCTGTACGATAAATCAAAAATAACTCTTGCCTCTTTTAATTGTAAAGGAGTGAAGCGATCTGTCGATACTGTGATAAATATGTGTAAGTTTGCGGACGTTATAGCACTTCAAGAAACATGGCTATGGCCGCATGATACGGATTTTCTGGCTAGCCTGGATGATAGCTTCGGTTACACAAGCAAGTCAGCCATAGACACGTCCGCCAAAATCATCACGGGCAGACCGTACGGTGGAGTGGCTCTTATGTGGAGGAAGGCGATGTTTCCGTCGGTATCTATGGTGAAATGTGAAAGTGATCGATTGGTGGTAATTAAAATAGTGTGTGATGATCGTCCTCTTCTAATATTTTCGATTTACATGCCGTTTGACAATGGTAAGAGTGATCATTTAATTCAATTTACGCAATGTCTTAGTGAGATTATAGCAATTATTGATAACAATAGTACAGAATCTGTGGTTATATTAGGGGATTATAATGCGCACCCCGGATCTCGTTTCTTTAGTGAACTAATTGATGTGTGCAATGATCAGAGGTGGATCTGTGCCGACTATGAGCTCCTTCCGAAGGACACCCACACATTTGTTTGTCAAGCAAGCGGGTCGAGGCGCTGGTTAGACCATTGCGTGGTGACGGAAGCGGCGAGTCATTTAATTACTAGTGCATCTGTTTCATACGGTGTCTACCAATCTGATCATTGCCCTGTTTTGTTTCAATGTAATAAGATAAAAATAAACCAAAAGGTACCAAATCTGAATTTTTGTAGCAACAAAGTGAGATGGAATGAAAGAAATAATAACAAATTAATAATTATTATGAATTTTGTAATAACAAATTAAAATTAATAGATTTTCCTAGTGAATGTATTACGTGTTCTCGGAATGGCCATTGTAGTAAATACACATCATTTGACTATAATAGATAAAATGTACTTTGAAATAATATCGACACTTAAAGAGGGTGCCGAATGTACTTATATTGGAGGCGATCATGTTAAGCGCCGAAATCATGTAACAGGATGGAACAGGCATGTTAGTAGTGCTCACAGGGAAGCTCGACTACGTTATCAAACGTGGCTAGCGTGCGGCGCACCTACTTCGGGTGAAATATATGAACAAATGAGATTGTCACGAAAAGTTTTTAAAGCAAAATTAAAATATGTTCAAAATAATCAAGAACAAATTAAATTAGATACTTTGGCAAAATGTCACAAGAAAATTTTGGTAGATTTTGGAAATCCACAAATAAATTAAAAGAAAGGTCGAGTCTCCCTGCAAGTGTGGATGGTATCACGGAGCCGGTAGAGGTTGCCAACCTTTTTCGAAGGCATTTCTCGGTTGAATCTCCCCTAAAAAGCAATATGCAACATCTGGTCGGTGCAGAGAGTACAGTGGGAGCTAATAAGCTATCTGTTATATTTACAGCAAAACACGTCTCCCTTATCATTAAAACTATGTCTAGGGGCAGGTCTCCGGGCCACGATGACCTCAGCATCGAACACCTGAAGTATGCTGGGAAACATCTGCCTAGAGTACTAGCTCTCTTGTTCAACCTATGCCTCATCCATAGCTATTTACCACAGGAGCTCATGCGGACAGTTGTAGTACCAATAGTTAAAGATAGAACAGGAGATGTGTCTGACGTGTCTATTACAGGCCTATCTCGCTGGCTACAATAGTGGCCAAGGTTCTGGACAGTCTGCTTGATAAACAACTGGCCAAGCACATGGAGTTATACGACGCCCAATTCGGTTTCAGACCCGAACTGTCTACAGAAAGCGCCATACTATGCCTTAAGCAGATGTACAGTACTATACCACGATAAATGATTGACGACTTTTTACCTGAAAAAAAAAGCACCGCACTAGATGGCGACTCTAGCAAAAGTTGATTTTTACAGGAAACGAATGGACCAAAGATAATCATATCCGTTCCTTTTAACTAACATATTGAAAAACTAAAATTTGCGATGTTCGAAACATAGATATAAATACAAAAACGAATAGTACAAATAGAATATGAGTTGTTCATTGAGTTTTGAAAATTAATTTACTTACATAATAGAAAACCGGAAGGGTTATCATAGAGAAATCAAGAAAGTACCGTAGCGACATCTAGTTTGATTTTGGGAACTAATATTTGTTTTAATACTTCCTCATTGGAGTAAAGACTGAAGAGTTGATAATTTGGTGGATTTATATAGGATATATCTTCGATAGCTCTGCGATCGTATTCATGTACTTATGTTATTTTTATTAGCACAATAATTCACATATAGAAACTTTTGTAGATATTTTAGAACACCTTTATTTGTTTTATTCTGAGTTGGATATTTCATTTTAGTGCAGATAATTATTTCTGAGAGGGGCGTCTTTGAGATAACATCATTGTCGATGACAAATAGTTTTTTTTTAATTACAGAAGAGGTATTATTATCTAGCGCTTGAGTTGTGTGTATAGTCTTTTTTGTAAAAAAAAATTTGAGTAATTTAGTATTAATATATATATCCATAATTAATGGCGCTGAGAGAAATCGGATTGAGTATTATTACGAGTACGTGTAAAATGTATTTATTAATATATACATAACATAATATACTAACATTTTTTTCAGGTAAATATAATATAAAAATATTTTTTAACACACATTTCACTTTCAACATTTTATAAGGTAAGCTATTGAAGGCTGGTATTAAAGGGGGAGGCCTATGTTCAGCAGTGGACGTCTTCCGGCTGATGATGATGATGATTAAAAATTCATCGTAAAACTTTTGTTTCTTTACATTTCACGTAATTTTTCCGCGTTCAAAGAAAGAATCAAAGCGTGCAAAATAACATTATTTCACAATGATATGTTTCTTCGGTTCCGCGTAGGAAAATTTGTGGCCGAAAATGCCGATTTCCTTTTCATGATAATGAGGTAACCAAAGATCTTAAAGGTTACGTTTCCAGTTGCCAATCGTCCGGGGACATTTGCTGGTTGTTATAGCCACCCATTCACGACGCATGGCTTATTTAATTACTTTTGTCTGTAGCTGATTGAGCACCAGTGTAATTAAGCTTTAATACGATAATTTGGATGACGACAGTAAAAGATCGGAGCGATATCTGTTAATATAGATAGTACAGGAGGAGATACTTTTTAATTTTTACTGCTTAATCATCTTATACATAGTGGTGTACAGACACAGTATCATACACACTCTTTATACGCTGCCTTATATTGAAGGCTAAATTTTTGAACGTGCCCATAAACAAGTAGAATTCTATCTTTAGAACAGTTTCTACTTATCTTTAGACTTCTTATAAAAAAAAAGAGTTCATAACGTTAATGTTAATTATAATCAAAATTTTCTCTAACAGTAATTGATTCGAAAAGCTTGTAGTGCATAAAAGTATTTGTATTTCGTCGTCTCCGATTTTTAGTTTCATCATAACCAGACTTCATTTGGAAAGTATCCAGTACCAAAATCCTCTTAAAGGCAGATCTAAAGAGCCCAAATATTACATTACTAAATTCTGATAACCACCTTCCGACTTAATCGTCATATTACACCATGATATTACATTGTCATCTGACTTATATGCGAAACTGATTTGCGCACTAACATACTAACAAGGCAAGTTAAATAAAAACTTGTAAAAACATTCCAAAACCAAAATTATGGCCATGTAAAGCACATAACCAGTATAAAGTCAGTGTCTCAAATAATTAAAATTATTTTACACCAACGTATAGCAATTAATACTTTAATAAATTGTATTAAAGCTAATAATTGTTTAATAGCTTTCCTACAAAACATGTGCATGTGCTTAAGATTCACCTAATTGCAAACGAGATACAAGAAGTAACTTATTGCTCGGGGAAAACGGGCAGGCGTTTGCTCATTAGCTAAGCAATTAAACATCCGCACAGCTGTTTACTAGACGCTTAATCAGTCCTGTTTTATTTACTCTCTCCCTTATTTCTTAAGAAGTTGTTAAGGAAGTCGACCTACTAAAGTTTTCAAAAAACCTCACGGTCTGCTGATCGTAAGAATGGAATAATAAAATCAATGTGGGGCGGATCTTTGCACTGACATTTGATAGAGTTGGCACAGAAAAGATAAGGCAAGATGCGAAAATAAAGATTCCTTTGTTGCCATGTCTTTGTCAAAAATATTTAGGTCACTCGTCCGCAAACATTGGTGGGTGTTACGGGCGTCATAATATACGAGGACCTAAAGTTTGGAAATAGTTTATTCGAAGTTGATGGTCTTGTAAACAATCCGAGCTTCAACTCGTCAAGACTTAGATCTACTATTCGGTTGCTTGTTGGCATATAAATGCGAGCCTTTTATTATTGTGAGCCCTATTTCTAATTTAATGCTAAAGTGATATCGTAAAATCATTATTAGTAATTTATACAGCGCTAATATAAAAACTAACAACCCTAATTTTACATAGACACCTACAAAAACAATAAGACGTCTGGGATATAGATATCCCAAAATCTTCTCAACAGCACATTTGTTTACTTTGTGATAAGCTTTTACAATTATTGTAGCTCTATAAATATATCTTCAAGCCGAATCTCTTGCGAAGTAAATAGTGAGATGTGCATCAAGACTGTCTTTCCGCATGTCTTCTGCTTCTTGATGTTTGCTACATTTTTCATGCACTTTCGTGGGTTTTATGGCTTCTGGCCACCTTCTAAAATTGCTCTTGTACAATACACGATCAATATTATTA